GCTCGCTCGTCGGGAGACTCCTGGCTGGTCTCCAGAGCCGCCGCTATGTCCCTCAGTCGCGTCGTGAGCGCGTTTAAAGCGCTGGAAGCGTCGCCGCGGTCCTGCTCGGCCTCCTCATCCGCCATCTTCACTTCCAATTCCGCCGCGTACTCACAGCGCGTCACGTGACGCCCGATCACCGTGCGTGCTGACGTACTGGCCGAGTCACGTGACGCTGCGCTCGGGTCAAGCGTTTCTCATTTACGCAGCGTTTTGTAACAAAATATGTGACCCTGGAGCACAAAACCAGTCTAAGGGTCAATTTTTTTGAAATAGAGATTTATGCATCATCTGACAGCTGAATAAATAAGCTTTCCATTGATGTATGGTTTGTTAGGATAGGACAATATGAATAAATCTGGAATCTGAGGGTGCAAAAAAATCTAAATATTGAGAAAATCATCTTTAAAGTTGTTCAGATGAAGTTCTTAGCAATGCATATTACTAATCAAATTAAGTTTTGATATATTTACGGTAGGAGATGTACTAAATATCTTCATGGAACATGATCTTTACTTAATATCCTAATGATTTTTGGCATAAAAGAGAAATGTATAATTGTGATCATTCATTAACAACAACAACAAAATACTTCTCCGTATCTTTATTATAGCCTGGTCAGGGTTATGGTATTTTAATATGGTCAAGCGGATGGGAATTGTGACACAAGCTGACTGAAACATACCAGAACTGATGAAATCCACTGACAGCACTTCCTGGTGTGATGTGTTCCGTCCACTTCCTGGAGGATGATGTCTTGGGTTATTTAAAATGATTTTACAAAAGAAAAAAATCAGATAAACTGATTATTAATGAAAACCATATTCCCAACATCTTTCATTTAAAACATTCAAGGGAAGATAAAAAATGAAGGAGCACCTGGGATTGTTCTGAATGAAGTATTCGCTGCTGGCCAAGTGTGAAATAGTTAGAATTTTATAATGTTTTTGTCTCTTCTGCTCACCAAGGCTGCCTTTATTTGATAAATAAATAAATAAAAATAAAAATGATATTAATTAATTATATATGTATGTATATGTTATATTTATATATATATATAAATACTCTTTTTTTTCAAAAACATTTCAGATTATTATCACAGTTGTGCTACACAACCATTCAATAGTTTGGGGTCAATAAGATTAAAAAAAGAAATAAGGAAAAAATACATGAATACTTTTATTCAGCAAGGAAGCATTAAATTGATTAAAACTGACAGTAAGGTCATTTATAATGTTACAAAAGATTTCTATTTCAAATAAATGCTGTTTTTTTTAACTTTCCATTCATTAAAGAATCCTGAAAAATAATTAAAAAAGAAAAATGTATCACAGTTTCCAGAAAGATTTGCAGCAGCAGCACAACTGTTTAAATTACATTTTAACATGTAGTCACATAGAAAACACATATTTTTAATAGTAATAGCAGTTTTTTTATTTTATTTTTATCAAATAAATGCAGCCTTGGTGAGCAGAAGAGACTTCTATTGTAATATTTTACATTCTGCCAATGATAAAACTGTTCTAGATAATGACTTTTGTGAGGTTTTGTGTGCTTTTGTTATGCAGACCCAACAACTCTGCACATAATCCAAATGTTTAAACTTAAAGTTCATTAATTAAAAAAAAAAATTAAGGTAATCAGTAGCCTTAATGGTTTTGAGTCCTGTTAACTCTTTCCCCGCCAGTGTTTTTGAAAAAAGTTGCCAGCCACCACCAGCGTTTTTGATCATTTTCACTAAAATTTCATCATGGCCCCCAGAATATTTTGTTGCATGAATATCTGAACATGCAATACATCAAAACAAAGATCAGACCCTCTACTTTTAAACAAAAAGCTAACAAAATAGCTTCAAGCGTTCTTTTTTTATCAACACTTGAATGCAGATAGGTTTTATAAAACAGCAACATTTTGAGAAAAAGCTGAGAAAATCGCATTTTTATCAAATACTTCATCTGGGTTCATCTTCATCTTCCATCAGTACTCTCAAAGCTTGCACAGTCCTTTACCACTTCTGGATCCACATTTCACTCTGTAACATTAGGTAGTTTTCATTTATATGCGGTTAGTGTTGATGATCGCATAATTTTTTCATATGCATATGCTAACATAAAAGATAGCTAATTTCTGCGGCTTCCTCGCCTGTGCTTTTGATCGAGTCATTCTAGACTCATTCAGGAGATGCATAATAGCCCCCCCTAGCGAATAACAATGAGAGCGCGGAAACCTGGAAAATTCTGTGTTTGGCGGGGAAAGAGTTAATGTACTGGAGTTTACTAGTATTATGAGTATTTTATAGTCTTTCTTTTCCTGAAAAGCAGATTTAAATGTGGATGACTACACTGATTTTGACCAATCAGATGCTCCCTAGCATGAGAATGTCTCCACCCCTCTATGAACATGACCTGAAGCCTACTGGTTACATAAAAAGCACAAGACGAGCCCTTAGGATGTGTCCATAGACTGTCCAGACCTCTTGTTTGAAGTACATTGGTACACTTGTCAAGCCATTTCACATCATTGCTCAGTAATCAAATGATAATGTGCTGTAGAAAAGCAGGCAGTGGATTTTCATTGGATTTTATTAAAACAATGTAATCAGCTCTTCCCGCGCCATGTGTTTTCCATACTGCTGCTAGACTTAACGAGAGATGTATGAATCCAGCTCAAATGGAGTTCCAGAATGTCCTGAACCCAGTGAAGCCGCAGCCCACGAACGGATGCGTGTCTATAGCCACTTTCACACAGTAATACCAGTAAATTACTGTAAAATTACTGGAACGACTTTACCGGTAATTCAAAAATGCACTGTTCACACAGGCAATGGCGTTCTGTCTTTTTTCCGGAAAAACAACATTCACACATCAGTTTCAAATTACCAGTAATTTCTGTGACATCATTAACCGGAAATTACCTCTAAATGGCTGCGCCTCCCGGTGTTGTGTTTGTAAACATGGCAGGGCATGCGCGGTCAGTTTTTATTTATGTTTTCATTTTTGTTTCAAACGTTCACATTCATGCAGCTGCTTTTGGCCCAGAGACATCGCATCAAACAACTTCAAACTGAACCAGACAGCGCGAGTAAATGCTTCAAAATGTTGTGATTGGCCCAGAGCCACTGAAGTTTGAATTTCATTGGGTCTGGATTGGCCTGGAGTAGACGTCTTATGTCACCGCGTTCTGAACACAGAATAGGACACATGCTTATTAGATAACCATATTTGGGTTGATGTACAGTATCTCACAGAAGTGAGTACACCCTTCACATTTTTGTAAATATTTTATTATATCTTTTCATGTGACAACACTGAAGAAATGACACTTTGCTACAATGTAAAGTAGTGAGTGTACAGCTTGTATAACAGTGTAAATTTGCTGTCCCCTCAAAATAACTCAACACACAGCCATTAATGTCTAAACCGCTGGCCACAAAAGTGAGT